TACTTAATGCTTTGATAATCTTTTATCAAGGCTTTTTTTGAACTTGTACACCTTTTCCTTTGATAGTTCATATGTGTGTCTAAACAATTAAGACTAATTGCCAAACCTCACAATTCAAATTATGGAAAGGGATACCGTAACCATGATCGAATTCGAGAATGCAATTTTACAATCATTATCTTCTTAAAATCTTTCTTAGTGAAAGCATTTCCTCACAATCATTTTCATGAAGAAGGAAATCTTATGACACTTAGATTTAAAGCGGTGTATATGTTCCTATCCATGTGAATTTGTTAAAACCAGAGTTTACGACAAATTCAAACTCATATGGACCGAACTTTCTTAATCTTGATTTCTTGCCTTATGGTAGCACAGCTGCCACCACATCTTCCAAGTAGTTAAGCATCTCACCTTTTTCCTATCAATGTACCTTTCATTGATCAAGGTGCCTTGCCTTTTATGCATTCAAAATGAGAACTCATAGGACTCACATGCATAATTAACTCAATTGGAACAACACATAATCAAAATATTGTCAACAAGACAGGTTGTCAACCTCAACTCGTGTGCTAGTGATGATCGATAAGGTTTATTTGATTTGTTCTTGAAACCTTTCAAGACCATTAAGACTCCCACTGACTCCTTGACATATAAGATTCTCTTGTCAATAACCATTTCTTAACAAACAAATATTCAAGAGTTAGTGTAGTTTTTATCAAAACACTTCATAAATTGGTCCTAGTCGGGTCTTTGTCTTATTCAAGACATCACAAATTTCCACATTTGATGAATGTTATAAACCTTTAATACTTTTCACTCATTGTCACAATCTTAACTTTAAGACTTGTTATTGCAACGAAGTATGATAGACTTCTTGATTTAACCATTTCTTCAATCCTTGATTCCTCTTCTTAAACATACAATCATACTAAGACTCACTTAGAGGATCAATTGAGATATGGTTCTTAATCATTAAGATCTATCATAAAGCATAAAAGCTACTCTCCCTTCTTCTTAGAATGGAGAAACTTTTATTTTTCTGCCTACTTGATTCTTCTTATTCGTTCTACTATTGATCTAAACCCTTTAATCAATTCAGAATTACACTTAATCCTGTAAGTATAATCATATTTACTAAACCTTTAGTAAATCATGACGAATATCTTTGTTACTCTTATGGTGAACTTGATCAACACACAACTTTGTGTACTCGATCTCCTAGTCCTTCACTTGACACTTTGTCAACGAATTTGTCTAATTTCCAAATATGAAATTTCTCATTCATCATGCAACCAAGTTGCGTGATTCCAAATTTCAGTCCAATTGAAATTTGGGCGATGAGAAACTCTCCCTATTTGGTAAATTCTCGACATTTCCATAAATAACATAACTAAGAATCATATCCATTCGTTGTAGAAATATGCAAACATCAATTTTCATAACGATTTCATTGCAAGGAAGTAAACAAATAAATAAATAAGTCAAACAAAATTTATTTTATTTATAAAAGCAGCGGAAAAACATTTGTCCTTACAATGCAAAATCTATTGAAAACTATGTAAAAGGAAAATTTCTAACAACTCTATCATAACTATCTAAGCTCAAAATCCAATCTTCAAGTCCATGCGATCAAGATCCATCTCTTGTGATTAGATTCATCTTGCTCTCTTTCAAGCTTCCTTTCTTTTCACCGATCCTTCAAAACATTCAAATGCAATCTTATCACATCATGTATTAAGAATCAATGAATAGGAACTTAACGGAGTTAGATAGTGGATTTTACCTGAAGCGTAGTCATACTTTTGACTCTCCCATCTCTTAGGTAAATAGGGCAACTTCGTCTCCAATGCCCCTTCTCTTGGCAATAAAAGCAAATTGACTCTTTTGGAACAACACATGGAACCACTTCAGACATCGCCTTTCTCTTATGATAAAACTTTTCGATCATTGCATGTCTTTCATTGCCATTGTCTATATCCATAGAGGTCTTGAAGGCAGATTCACCAATCAACTTTGCTTTTCTATTGCGCCAAACCATTGCTGATTCAGTAGCAATAAGCATATAGGTGAGATCCATAAGGGTCACGTCGTGGTTCATCATATAGTACTCTCTTACGAACTCACTATACGAGTTAGGAAGTGACTGAGTGACTGAACAACCCAATCAACAACCATCTCTTCACCAACAACGGATCCCATCATTCTTAACCTATCAATGTGTGACTTCATCCCTAAGATGTGTGCACACACCGACTTTCCTTCTTTATGTTTACTTGCCAAAAGGGCTTGAGTGACATTGAACCTTTCAATTTTACAATCTTGTGGGTTAGGGAGAATAATTGGAGGAGGAAGGGGAAGTGAAGCATGATTTCTTGTTCCTCGATCGAATCGTGGAATATCATCTTCATGTGGAATGCTTGTTCCACGTGATTTGGGAAGACCATAGTTGTCGAACTTTGACATCTACAAAACGGGAGAAAACAAATTCAAGTTAGTTGATCGATTGAGTCCTTAGTAAATCACCCAAATGAGATACCAAGGCTAGGAACCAACACAATACGCTACAACCTAGAAAAGGGATGCCGTAATCTAGTTGCAGAATATTTGAAGGTAAGTGAATGACGATTCACTAATTTCCACCATGAAAAACAAAAAAGAAATTTAAGTTTTAAATCTATGAAAACTCCTAGATCCTTTGAGATTCATTGAACATTTCAATGGCATGTTTAAATCTCGATATGCCCCTCTTGTTTGTGACTGGGATGCCGAGGATCACAAATCGGGTGTGAATAACCATGCAAACTTACATGGTGCCATCACATGTTACAATCACCTATTCAATGTGCCGGTAAACCACACACGCTCCACCGAACTATGACAAACATTGAGTCCCCCTTTGCAACCTTTTCTTAGAACCATTTAGTGTGCCGGTAAACCACACACGCTCCACTAACGTCTTCGCAAGGGAACAAAGTGTAATTTCATGGAATTGCATGAATTCACTTTGCCTAAGTAACTAAGATTGGGAATTTGTAAAAACGTTTAGTTACTTTTGTATTTCATTATAATTATAATGGAAGGTTTCGTCCTATCCTACCCGTTTGGCTAACGACCCTCCACTAGTCAAAAGTGCGGTGGGTAAGAGTGGATACCCATTCAAACGCCATTTTATAGGCAATTTCCTTAAACACCCCTTATAGAGCAGCTTCGTGAATGAGGCCTACTAACGGTAAGACTGACTTTTACTCATATATATATATATATATATATATATATATATATATATATATATATAATGTTAGACTTTTAATGGTATATATATATATATATATATATATATATATATATATATATATATATATATATATAGTATATGGTGTATTTTACACTTTTAAATACTAGGTGGTCTAATTCAACAATTATACTTTTAATTCAATTAATTGTAAACCTAAACCTTTTATGGATTTATTAAACTTCTTTTAATTATACACCTTAATTAATTAATAAAACCATAAGGGTGTGAATTGAACTTTTAAAAACATTACTAGGGTTTTAGAATTTAACATTCCTAATTAAACTCTTAATCAACTTTTAAATTCCAAAACTTGAGGGCAAGTTTTGAAACATTTCAAAACATTAGGGTTAGAATTTAAATATACATCAAAATTAAACTTTTTAATCAAAATTTAAATTCCAAAACTTGAGGGCAAATTTTGAAACCTTTTTCAAAACATTAGGGTTTTAACTATTTAAATTTCAAAACAACAAAACTTTTGGGTTCAAATTTAAACTATAAAACCTAAAGGGTAAAATATGAAACTTTTCATAACAACACGGATCAAATAACAAATAATATAAATTAACATTTAATCACATAATTATCTATATTTGATTTATTTAATGTTATCTTCCAAAACAATTTATCAATTTAATCAAAATAATCAATCAATTATCATATAAGGAAACAAATATTTTATTAATTGATAATTATCTTTAATTAGGTCAAGAATATAGTCATATATATCATAAAATCGGATTTATATTGATCTAATATGATAAGGTAACTATCCATAAGCAAAAACAGCAAGAAATCCCGGATATACCTCTGTCTGACGCTCGAACTCGCCGAGTACCACACTGTACTCGCCGAGTACACTATGGTACTCGCCGAGTTCCTCAGCCAGAAAGCGCAAAAATAGATTTTGCAAACATATCAATCAACAATACAATAGAAACCAATCAAGGCTCTGATACCATTGATGGGTTTTGGCCATAAGAACATCCTATGTGCTCATACAAACCCTAATGCTTGGATCTAGGTTTCTCTATTGTGCATGCTTTGAATCCAAGACTATAAACCTTAATTCTAGAATATGGAAATCGATATTAACATATGATTAGGTTTAAGATATTATCTTGATTGTTATGTAGCAATAAAAATCCTAATTCCTCCTTGAATTGACTTTGGAAGGCTTAGAGTCACAAGTGTCACTCCTCTAATGGTTCACAAACACCATAAGCAAGAGGATGAAGAGGAGAGAGGTTGGAGGCTACCAAAAACGTGTAGAAACCCTAACAAGAAGCTTAGCCACGTTTTTGAGCCTTAAGGGGTCTTTATATAGTTGGGCTATTAGGGTTATCTAACAAGGAAACCCTAATTTGGATGCTTAAGCCTTTAGCAACCCATAGACTCCTTAATCAAGCCCTTGGACGATTTCCTTATGGGCTTCCCCATAGAATTCGTCCAACCCTTGATACAAGGCAATCCATGGCCCAAATTGCAATTATCTTATAATTACAATTCCAGTCCCTTAAGTTTAATTAATCTCTTTTAGTCACAAAACTAATTACCAACTAATATTAATTAAAGAATATGATTTCTCCTTTAATATATTATTCCCATAATATATTAATAAATCATATTTAGTCCTTTCTCTCCATAATTCTTCCTATCAAGTTGCTTTGGTGAAGGCAACCCAAAAGGACCATGCACCATCGGGTCAAGTACATACCAAAATAGTTATGGACTTAGACACTAATCCAACATGTATATAGTACGCGTAATACATATTGATAGTGAGATTTTTTGCATTAACTCCTCTCTGATTACGCATCTTCAAACGGGGTGACCACCCTTCCTCACCGTAAGGAAACAAAAGTGGATATTGTAAAGGCATATAAGAGGGATGCAATTTGCTAATACGTTGAGGCCGACCCGAATGTGAAAAGACAACGATGTCATATGTGATACTGGTAGTGTCATCACCACTTACTATACATCCCAAGGATCCAGGGGAGGGCAATTCATATCTACGGTCAACAACGTTGTTAAACAGCCGGGCACTATAATTTTGTAAATTATTTTCCTCAGCCATGACTTTTGCTGTTTTAAAGGTTTTGACGTACTCGTTGTTAGCCCCTAAAAAGGTAACCAGATATTGCACGATATTAGGATCCAAATCGGTTCCTCTTAGACCAACAAAAGCCCTGAATTTATTTTGAACCTCATTCTCTGTGTCAAAAAGATAGAGCTGAAGAAATCTAGGGCCCTTCGTAGGATCCGGAGATAATGATCCTATCCTATAACAAATCTGACCACATATCTTGAAAACATAAGGGCCCCGATTGTCATTGACAGACTCATCCACATTCACCCCAAAGGAAGTCATATAGAACATGCTATTATATGCCCTAATGTCTTTAAAAAATGTAGGATTTTGATACAAATCAAGAAATTCGGGATGAAACCTCGAAGGATACGGAAGAACCACATCACCATCCCGACAACAATGATAGTACTTCGGATGGCCAGGCATAGAAAGTCTGAGCGCCCTTTCAACATACCAAAAATAGGCGCCACAAAATTCGCAAACACACGTACAGTCACCGTAATCAACATATTGAGGAAGACCGGCAAAGAAGACAACATGCCGCGACCTGCGAGTTCTAGGAAGAGAGGACGAAGCACCAGCTGAAGATGACCGTTTCGCCGGAAGGGCCATCATAAATCGAACGACCAAAAGACGCACACCAACACTGAAAGACGAACAAAAAAACACAAAACGTGAAATAGGAAAAGAAGACAAGGAATTTACCTTTCGAAAGAAAGAACGAAGAACAAAAAAGAAACAACGGTGGAGAACGCAGCCCGAAGAAATAGAGAAGTAGAACATGTGGATCATAAAGGAAATGGAAAAAAGACACATAGACACAAGTCAACAGTCTACCTTAAGAAAAGCAGAAAGGGATAAAGTAGACGAATGACAAACGAAGAGAACTACAGGGGTAAAAACAACAATTCCATAAAGTAAGAACGAAGGAGACGAAATTCCAAATTAGAAGGTCCATATATGTCCCAAAATAGGACAGAATACTGTAGATAAGAGAAGAAATTTAAAAAAAAAATATATATATATATATATATATATAATATATATATATATATATATATATATATATATATTATATATATATATATATATATATATATATATATATATATATATATATATATATATAATAAGATTTGCACTTTTCATTGTGTATGATGTTGACTTATTCATAGCTCTTTATAGCATCCACAATATAGTTGGGCAACATCAACGAAAATTCCACACCCCCGTAGAAGTCTTCATGATCTAAGCCAAAAACAATCAACGGGTTGTGAATCGAATAAATACATGTATCTTATCTTATTCTTATTATTCTTATTATTATTATTATTATTATTATTATTATTATTATTTCATAAATAGGAGCTTGCAACCCTTTTATAAATTAAAAAGATTATTCCATAAGCTTGAAAAACATGCTTCGGTAAATTTACATGTATTTTTAAGAAAAAATCACATGTTTACTAAAAGATGGACTCAAGCCAACCCAACACCGGTCCATATAGACCCGGGCCAAACAATTAGGGTTCTTTCTCTAGCAATACCGCATTTCTCTGCGCAACCCACCATTCCGTGAAATTGATCGACACAGCAGTTTTGAGTGGTACAATATTTCAAATCTCTTTTTTTTTTTAGTGGGACAATATTTCAATTATATGTAGGATTATGGTGTTACGAGGCCAAATCTCTTTTTTTTTTTGAGTGGGACAATATTTCAAAGTTTTGTCTCGTTAATATGAATATTGACTTGTTTTTCTTTTTCTTTGCATAATAGTAGCAAATATAAGTTTTTTTACACATGATGATTGATGGGAATGTATTTGAAGTTATTTTTTTTATTCCTATTAGGATTGTACTTGTATTTTGTTCATTATTAATAAGGAAACCTTAGAAAAACCGAAATATATCCTGATGCTTAGAAAAACCATTATTTGTTATTTTTGTATTGTAAAAACCATATTTGAGAAATGATATAAACTACTTATTTTTTTAAAAAAAATTGCTTTATTATCGCTCATTTCAGGTTAAGAGGTTTGGTTATATCACTCTTTGCATTTTAGTCACTTTTTGATTAACCCTTGTATATGTTCTACTAGGTGTGAGATGCATGTATTACATGAGTTTAATTAAAAAAAAAATATAAAATTTTAATAATTTGAAAAGTTTGAATTTATATGAAAAATGAGAAAATTTTGAATTATTAAAATTAATGAGACTTTAATGTATTGAATACATTATATATATAAACTCTTTCTAATAAATACGTTACATATATATTACGTTATACATTAAATGTGGAATTTTAATTTAATAAAATGAAAAACACAATAAAATGACAAGTGGAAAATAGAAAATTTAAAAAATCTAGAAAATGCCATGTGTCCAAATGAATGAGAAGAGAACAAGTAGCAAAAAAACCTTTATTTATTAAGGCGGACTAGGTGTGATACACATATATTATATGAGTTTAATTAAAAAAAAACAAATATAAAATTTTAACAATTTTAAAAATTTGAATTTATAAGAAAAATAAGAAAAATTTGAATTATTAAAATTAATAAGACTTTAATGTATTGAATACATTACATATATAAACTATTTCTAATAAATACTTTACATATATATTACCTTACACATTAAATGTGGAATTTTAATTTAATAAAATAAAAAATACAATAAAATGACAAGTGAAAAATAGAAAATTTAAAACATCTAGAAAATGCCATGTGTCTAAATGAATGAGAAGATGACAAGTGGCAAAAAAAACCTTCATTTATTAAGGAAGATTGTTACAAAAAAGAATATATATGTTTTAGGTACGTTTCTTATCATAGATATTAGTAACGAGAACAAAATATACCATGTTGATTACTTCTTTTATAATCATTGCCTCATTGGTCGTATCTGATTTTTGACTAAATTCATGAAATCGAAGTCTATTGATATACATATGAACAAGGCGATCTATTATTTAAAGAAGATCAACATCTAATCGGAAAGTTGCACTTTTTTTGAGTAAATTAGAAGTTTGGTCTCTATGCTTTAGAAAAAATTTGTAATTTCAATCCAACATTTTAATTTGTTTAATGTCGTTTTTAAGTTTATATTTTGTGATTGTGTGTTCTACTCAAAATTGCAAGTTTAATCCAAATTTTAAGGCATTTTATACAAAGCAGAGACCATATCTGCAACAAAATATGAAAATCTAATGATGACATTGGGACCATGTGAAAATTTAGATTGAAGTTGTGATCTTTAGTAGTCCCAATCTGAAAATTTAGATTGAAGTTGTGATCTTTAGTAAAGCAAAGCATAAGTACCAAATTCGTAATATACTGATTTTTAATCTATGTTTCATAAACCAACTAGTGATTAACTAATTATTGTTTAAAGTTAATTTCTTAACAAGCCAACAAGTGGATTTTTGTATATTTTGTTGTACGATATAATGAAAAGTGCGGGTGATGATGAAAGCAACTCAAAAGTTGTATACAAGTTCCCCACCATCTCCACTCAATTAATTTCCTTTCTAAATGATTTTATTTCCTATACAAGACTCTTTGATTCATTATATTGTCTTCAGTTAAACTTTATCAATCCATGGCGAAAAAGGAAAAATCTAAGACTAGGATATATATTTTTTAAGAGATGCATTAAAAAAATCTAATAAAGTTTTCAAACCATGGGACGAGTTCAGCATGGGCTTTCAAGTTTTGATTTACCATTTTTTTTCAGCAATATAAATTTCTTTAAACAACAACAAACACACTCTTTAATCTACTCCTAAGTTACACCATGTGTAACATCCCATTTTAGAATAAACCCTAGACCCCATGATGTATTTACTTATCTTTTTATTTTAGCCCTAAAGTTGTAACGAAGGGTTCTCCACAAGAAGTTAAAGGTTATAATTTCTCGACGACCGTGGGGAGGGAGGGGGGGGGGGGAAGGGTGATTTGTAACATTTGGACTAGATATGTAAAGATTTATGGAAGCAGGGGCTGTATGGTAAAAATTGGACTTACATTGAAATGGGTTCTTGAAGGCATGGGCTAAACTTGTTAAATGATTAAGCACTCACCCTTTTAAGCCTAGGGTTTGGGGTTTGGACCCATTTTGATGGTTCCTAGGGGTAAAGCTAGAAACTTTACCTTTCTAGATGCCATTTTAGTTAAGATATGAGTTTTCAAGCTCTTAGATCCGTTAATGTCAGCTTAATTATTATGATGTTGGGTTTCTGGAGAACTCAGCGAGTTTATTGACAAACTTGGCGATTTGGCTCGGTTTTTCCCGACTTGGCAGTTCATGGAGAAACACAATGAGTTGAAAGACAACTCGGCGTGTTGGGTCAACTCGGGCCGTTGATCTTGACTTTTGACTTTGACTTTGACCAGAAGTTGGTTTGGGTCGACCATTGGACATTCTTGGGCCTTATTAGGCCTTATGGTGTCATTTCGGGCTTGGACTATCATTTGGACTTGTACTGTTTGGGGTTCTGTTGGGCTAGATGTGAATGTGTGTTTTGGAAATGTTAATGGGCTTTAAGGAAACGCCCATATGGGGTTGGGGCCAATTTGGAAAATTGGGCCATTAGTGGGCTTTTATAGATCTACCAGTTTTGGGCCTTTTTGATATTTTCAAGATGAGTTAAGGGTAAAATGGTTATTTTACCCCAATCATGGATTATGGATCATAGGTTAGGACCCAATTGCTAAATGGGTGTTATTTTGGTATCGATAGCTCGGGAGGTCGTCAGGGCAGCAATTAGAGATTTAGTTCAGTGAGTTTCTGCATTCAAGGCGAGTCTTCTCTCTATATCCATGGGTCGCAAACGCCAATGTCGGCCCATTACGTGTTATGTGGATTGCTAGTTGTCTCTATGATACTTGCATGGAAGACCCTAGGGGGAGCCCGTGGCAATTGGATGCCAGACCATGGGGGAAAGCCCATGACATTCCAGATAAAGACCATTGGGGGGGGGGAGGGGGAGCCCATGGCATAATAGATCAAGACCATGGGGGGAGCCCATGGCAACTATATGTATGTTGCATGATACTTTGTGGTTGTATGTTGTATGGTATTTTGGGGAACTCACTAAGCTTCGTGCTTACAATTGTAGTTTATGGTTTCAGGTACTTTTGGTTCAAAAGCGAAGGGCCCGACTTGATCACAACGTATACACCCGTGTTTCCACAATTCGTGATTTTGGAAATGTACTCTGATAATTGTTTTACCCTTATATACTTTTAAATGTGTTAATTAATAATGAATGAATATTTTGTATATAATAAAAATGAAAATTTTACCCTCGTATTTTGGGGATGTTACAAGTTGGTAACAAAGCCTTGGTTTGAGGGATTCATGCATACTCTCAGGTGTGTCTGAACTCAAACTGAGGGTTTGGTGAAAATATTCATAAAATAAATGATTTAAAAAAACGGTTTTTAACCAAGAAAGGGGTGTGAAGCATGCAATCGACCGAGCTCACGTACATGTGATCTGCTATGATTTGATTTATGAATCTGTGAATTGCATGCTAGTTTGGACTAAGGATCTACTCACTTCTTGCATGATAGAATACTAGGAGCGATGTCTTTGTATGTATATTATAT